ATCACACTTACAGTTCCCCTGAGGGGCAGCAGTAAAGAGCTCATTAAAGAACTGTCCATTTGCAGTGGGCTGGCTGCAGCAACCATCCCTGGCTGGGAATACCAACATCACCTACGTGTGCTTTCAGTCCCAACACCCAGGGAGGTGCCAGAGGGAGCTCTGCAGAGCTCCATGAGTCACTTCTGATGGAACAGGAAGAGCTGTCTGTATGTTTGCAAGAAGAAACAGCAGTCTAGATGCTCTCTACTATTTTCATAGTTGTAGTGGAGTCCAGGGTCACTTGTTGTTTATATCTGTTTGAAGGATTTTATTTATACTGGAAAAAGTATTTTATTTGGAGATTTTAAAATGCCAAGAAGGAAGCAAACTGAGGAGAGCAGAATTAGTATCTGGACTACTATTTCATCCTCTAAAAGATGTATGCTTGGCTGACATCTACAGGATTTAAAGAGTGCAGGTTTCAATCTTTGGTGAAAGTTAAAATGGTTGGATTTGTGTTCTGGCACAAGCACACATGTTCTACTTTTGATCCATTGTCCTCCACCAAGAGTATGATGAACATGAATCCTAATGACATAGAAAATAAGATTAATGCTGCTAAGTGATTATAAGTTTCTTCTGGACAGAATACATTGTTTACAAGTCTAAGTAATATCAGTCTTGATACTAAGACTAGGCTAGAGAAAACTGGGAAAGGTACTTGAACATTGTAGGTACGAGGATCTGATTTTATTTGCAAAATAATGACTAACTTTTGGCTCTCAGAGCACGTATGTGTCACAAACAGATGAACTGAGGTCTCCTTCCAACCTCATATTTTATGATTCTATGAATTGGGGCTCTCAAGCTTTGCCTATGAATTTTCCAGTTCATTTATCCTTCAGATGTATGATATGTATCCAGTGGATTTTAGCTATATGAAGCATGCAGCCTGCAAGATCAAGATTATTTGACATTTTTGCATTTGCTAAGTACTTTGGCCCTATAATTTTTTTGTGATACAGTCTCTCATGTAGTAGCCATGTAGCCTGAGTCCAAAGAAACTATAAAATATGTCACCCTCCCTAAGTATTATATTCAGCTCTCTGGTTGATAATGGTTTTTACATCTGTTTGTGATAATTTCCAGTGGAACCTGGAATTTCCAGGTGATAGGACCAGTTTACACATAGATTCTACTTGAATACACTTGAAATGAGAGTAGAGCTTCTTCAGTCATGCTGAAGCTTTAAGACCAAAGACCCAAACACTTGTAAATGATTTATCCAATGAAAATATAATTTAGCTTTGATTGCTAATCTCTCTGTAGGAAATAAAGAGGCTAATCTCTGGAATCAGAGTAGTAAACAGGGGTGAGCTGAACCTTGAAGCTGATTGTTATATTCCTTGCTTTCAGTAATTTTTGTTTTCCAGTAAAACAAGTCTGTTGGAAAAGGATTGGGCAGGCACCCCACTGCTTGCCTAGAGTGGCTTATGGCAATATTAAGGTTTGCATGAGGATGATCTTTTCTTCAGGAGCCAACCTGCCAGTGGGTCTCAGTGTGATGGATGATGTGTGCACTGGTAAGAATGGCTCAGTAGTGAGCTTTTGACTGTATTACCATGTTTATTTCACATGATGAATAAATTTTATTAGGAACAGGGGCTATGGATATACCTGGTACTAGTAGTTCATCACGGAGATGTGTTTTGTGTTGCACTCCAATGCAGGCATAAATACATCCCTGATGATTTCTGAGACTCTGAAAACTGCTCCCTATTTTTATCAAATCTAACCTGTTTTTTTTTTCTTGTTACTTTTTACTGAGAACCCCGGGCTGAAGAAACTCTGTCTCACAGAGCTATTCAAAATATGTGCATTTTAAACATAGATATTTTTCCTGGCTTCTCTTCTACCTTTCTTGTAAAAAGCTGAATTTTTTAGATAACTGATTTGGAGATTTAGGGACCAGGGAATAAAGTTTTGCTATAATTTACAGTTGCCTGCTCCCTGATTACCCCAAAGAATAACCTCGTGGAAGAGCATCCATTTTATATCTGATCCAGTTGCCTTTGTGCAACTGCCAGTTTAATGATGAGAATAACATTTTGCTCATTTGGGCAAGATGTTAAAACCTTGTTACAGATGTAAAAGCATTTCAGACAGAAAAAGAGGAAGGTCTCTATTTCTACTCATACACTTAATCATGACCTCAGTTCAAGAAAGCACCTCTACAAGACAGATTACAAGGGTGTGCTCAACATTAACCACATTCTTGAAATCATACTAACACCAAAGCCTTCCAACAAAGAGGATGATTACATCATTTTCAGAAGCTGCAGAGAGTGACATTTCTGCTCTTTCTTTGTTTTTTTTCCTTATTTTTTTTATTCAAGCTAGCATTATCACTGTGAGTTCAAATATTTGGCTTTCATCTTCTAACAGCAAAAAGCGTCCATTATGCCTAAAACACCCTGAAATGGCTCTTTAGCATCTGTGCACCCTCATATGATGTCAGGGATTTTATATTGCCTATTGTACCAGAAGCAGTAACCTCATCATTGATCCAGGACAATTATATATTGTTTAATTTTCATACTAAAAAGAAGTAAAAAGCAGAATTATGTTTGATAATGACTATACCTGGAAGATATTGTGGAAGGTGTTGTAATTCAATCTGCCATTACAGCAGCTAAACTATAATGAAAAGTTGCGGAAATTGAATTTGCCAATTTTAGTTACGTGCAACTTAATTATAATTGATTTAGTGCTAATGCTGGATATCTCAAGCAGAAGGCTGACTGGGTAAAGTATTTCTTATAATTCACCAAAGCTCTTTTTCTACTCCAGTTTATATTGCATGCAGTATACTTTTAAACACTGATACTTTGATTATTATAGCTGTACCACGAGTATTGTCCAAGTACCACTAAAATGTTGTCTTGTATCTACAGATCTCCCTTCCTCCCTCTCTTCATCAGATCTGGCTGTCAAAACTGGCCAAGTAATTGGGGCAATTAAGGTGCCCCTGAGATATAATTATCCTTCATAATTTCTCTATATGTTTAAGAAAAATGATGATTGGCTCACAAAAACAGGTTCCCTATGGTACAATGAGAAAGAGGATATTGGAAAAGAACAAATCAGCTTTAAACTCTTGCACTTAAATAGTCCCTAAAATAACTTCAGCCCAAACTCTTCCTCCTGTGCCATAACTTACACCACAAAGCAACATTTTAAGTATGTGTAGACAAATAAATGAGGATCATCTGTGTTCAGAGTATCCTTTGGTGTATTAGGATCCTGGTAATGACTCTCAGTTGCTAGTGTGAGGAAGATAAATGTGGCAGCTGTTTTCCCATGCCCCACTGACTCACTATTCATCTAGCTAAGTACATAGACAGTCCTCGGAGAACCTCTCCAGCCTCACAGCTCCTCTCTGGCTGAGCAGCCTTATTCCCACTGCCACAGAGCAAGAGCTGATTTAGACAAACAAAACATCTTACCCTCGTTATTTGGGCAGTTTATGGGGGAGAGGTTGGATGATTTCCTCCACCATGTGACTGCTGGACCAGGACCACTCACAGGGCTGTGGGGGCAGGACCATGTGCCTACAATTCACAGAAATGGCCCTTGGCCACAAGTGTCTGGGACTCCTCAGGTATTTCATTGTCCAGCCCAGAAATTTGAATCTTCCACCCCTGCATCTCCATCTGACTATAAATTATAAATTTAAAATTATTTCTTCATATTGTGAAGAAAATATAGATTAATAATGTGCATCATTATTATTGCTTAGGTTGAATGAAGACCTGATTGTAAAACAGCTTTTAAACACCAGTGTACTAACACAGAACTCTCTTATTTCAGATTTCTAAATACAAATAAAATACTAAGGAGTTAATATTTCGCTCAGACAATTGAGGTGTAGCCTTTACTTCAGTTTCCAAAGCATGCATACATTTAAAAGGATAAATATGGCACAACAGTACAAGAATAGGTGTATTCATGAGAAAAATGTTTATATCACATCTATTCCCCTGGGCAAGAACATCGTCTTTCCCACCTCCACACCTCAGCTGTATGTTTCTACAAATCCATATTTACACAATTATAGTGCTGAAGGAAAAGATGTAGGGATTGCTTTAAATTCATGTCCTTTCAACCCAGAAACGGTTCTTGCCCTTTCTTCACTGTGGCTATCAAATCATGGAATTCCCTGGCATGAAATAAATTATCATTTAAAACACATAGCCCTACTGAAAAAGTCAGGCTTTAAAGTCATAATAAGGGGATAGATTGGAAGGAATCAGTCAAACAGAAATCAGAATTTGGGGAAGTGGTTAATTTCTGTCTCCATCCAGATCTAATTTGTCTTCTATACGCCCTAAATACCATAGGTGTGCAGATTAAAGATTTCAGGAAGAATTTACTGTTGCTCAGCACCTTGCATATTCACATACATTCAGCAAAGTGTATGAATGTACAGTTTACACTCTCCCTGCTGAATGAGATGCTATTTTAACATCTGCTTTGGCTGACTGCAACACATATCATAAGGCAGTTGATGATCCAGCACCCAACACATATGTCACCTTCTAATAAGCGAGCAGAGCAAACAGTAGCTACTTCTTTCACCCTTTTCTCACCTGGAAAGTGTTCATGCTTGGGTGTCGAGTGAGATTGAAGTGCTGCTTTCTGTTCCAACAGCAGAGAAAAAAGCTGTCTTTTACCAGCAGAAGAAAACAATGTGTTTTAGAGAAGAGTTATGTCCAGATTCAGCCAGCCTGAATTATACCCAAGTTTTGCTCCTCATGCCTCTTCATTACTTGAGTCTAGAATCATCTTATTAAAACCACAAGGCCCAAAGTGGCTGATCAGAGCCAGTCCCACATCTTTCAGTCATCCACCATACAAAGAGCCAAGAGATCACCCCCATTTTCCATGGCAACCATGGCCTTGAAACCCCTTGTCACCACCTACATACATCTTCTCACTCCAGAAAGCCTCAGGGATTTTTAAGGTTTGGTTCTGGAAGACAGAAAACGGTATGTGCTTGTCCTTTGTATTTTTACTTCCTCTGTGCACTTTCCTGGTGTCTTCTCATTCACTTGCTGTTCCTGGATTGAACTGTAAAAGGGAAAAGAAATGCAGCTGACTCCATTGGCAGGCATGGACAAGAGCATGAAAGAGGGTTGCTTGTGTAGTCAGCCAGGCTCAGATTCTTTCAACTTTGCTTGTCATTGTCCCCACATTAAATGTGTGTCATACAATTCATATCTGATTTCACCACTTGCTAACAGAGATTAAACATTGAAATATTGAAGGAGTCTCTGAGATGTGTTCAGTTCCTCTGGAGAAGCCATTCCCAAGTTAAATATGTTCAACATATTTACCTTGCTCTGAGCCTGCCACAGCCCTCCTGTCACTTTATTAGCATGAACTCCCCTCGGGCAAATTTGACCCATTGTGCTGGTAATTCAATGGCATTTGAATCACAAAAAATACATTAAGCTGCATCAGAGGAGTGTGCTCATCTCCATATAAAATATTAGCTTCCCATTTGTCTGTGGGAAAGGAAATATCTTTGAGCAATTTCTTGGGTCTCATAGAAAAATATCAGGTAAAAAGACAATTATATTTCCCCTGAGAAATGCTTCAAATTGCTGAAAAAAGCATTTCCCAATGGCCAACTTCAAAGGATTTTTACAGCCACATGGAAAAAAAAACCCTCTGAGGTATGTGCCCTGTTCACCTGAACTCTGTTGCAGTTTATTTTGCATCATCTTATTGAAGTTCCGTGAGGAATATTATTCAAAGGGGTTTCTAAATCCTTTCCTACTTACTGGCTTTTGTCAGAGGTGATGTCAGTCAATATAAGAACATGTTGACAGAACAAGGATTTCCATATGTTTATGTTTCAATTTATATACCTATTTCTATCAATCACCTATCTATCTATACATCTATCTATAGATATACAAATATTTTTATATTAGAATGAAAAGGATTTGTTCTATTCCTATTTCCCCTTGGCAGAGCCTGAAGGTGAGCTAAAAACAGAAATTGTGGTCAGCTCTCCTAGTTTCCAGAAAAGTAAATGGCAGCTTGAAGCATCCTCAGGACTCATGGAGAAGCAGAGAGAGAAGAGGCAAAGGCAAGAAGTGGTGCTACACCCAGCAGCAGGAGTCATGGAAACCCACAGCATCCCTTCCTCCCTTTGTAAGTTCTCAGTTCTTTTGCTCCCCAGTTGCAACTACCAAAAAAGTTAAAACCTATTTTAAAAAGGTTATTCCTTTTTTATATCTTCATATGAACTCAATTTTTTAGCCATTATAAGTGGTTCCCAAAATATACAAGTAATTTTGGTGAAAAGATAAATTTATAGGTTTCATTTATCTGAAGTTATATCACCTTTCCCTTTACATATGGTCTGTGTGTTTATATGTGTTCTACTTCTCTTTTCTGATTTAATTTTGAAAAAGTAATGGGAACAAATCAATCACAAGCAATTTACAGGCTTATTTTCAAACAGTTTTAATGAAAACTTCATTTTTAGAAAGATGTTGAGCCTCCAAGTGATCTTTTAAAACTCCTAAACACAATCTCAACCATTTAGTCATATGTGAAGTAACATGGTAGTGATAGTATACAGCATAGAACATACCTGGGGCTAATAGTTTTACTAAGGATCTAAAATTCCCATCAATGCAGTACAGCACAGTTGGAATTTCACATTTTCTTTTTAGATCTCAAGATATTTCAAATATTAGGGTATTTTTGAGTGGCAGGAGCAAAAAAAAAAAAAAAAAAAAAAAAGATAAAATTGCCTCATTGCTGTCTGTCCTGAACTGGAGGTATTTGTAATTGTCTGGTAATTGCCTTCAGTAATTGAAAGCCTGCCAGGTACTTACTGTATTATTTAAAATCCTGGGCAATTTTTCTGTAATTTTGATCATCATGGTTATCACTCTGCCCTGGTTTTTACATTCTAAGGATTGCATGCCCTTCTGTGCTGCAAAGAGAGCACATTGTGATATCTGAGTGCTAATAACATGTAGAATGAGAAATTCATGTGTTAGCAAATTGTCTCTTACAGACGAATTTTTTTAAAGCAACACCTTTTGGACCTCAATGCCTCACAAATGTTGCTCTTGATTATTACTGGGAATGACACTTAACTCCATTGTTTACATTGAGTATTACATATGATATTGTGAGGATTAATATTAATTACATATGATGTCATGATGATTAATAAAATCAGAGTCTCAAATATGCATAAAAACCCTCAGTCAGTTGTATAATTTTGCCCTGGAAAAGTCTGTGCAGTTGAAAATAGACTAGTGCCTCACCTCTGCTGTTCAGGCCTGAGCAGCCTGTGCAATTAGAGATAATCTAAGCTTGTAAAAGTTTTAAACAAGTGCTTGGTTGTTGTCACTTTGAATCTCATGAACTTCAGTAACTAGCACAGTGCAAGGCAAAAATGACCATCTTTACTGAACTGAAGAGCAAATACAATGTCCAACAGATGCATAAAAATAATAAAATTAGTTCAGCAGAAACTCTTAGGAGCCATCTTAAATATAGGACTATTTGGTCTTAACTTAGCCTGTTTGAGCTGAACATTCCTAAGATTAGACTTTTCATGCTTTTGTATTTGTTAGTCCATGTAAACATGTCTAGGCCACTCCAATCCATTTCTCTGGGATATGTAAAAGGTGGTGACTGTATCTCCACTTGGCGGCATGGGTTGTTTTGAAAACTAATAATGAAAGTTTCTGTGAGGCAGAAGTGTCTTTCAGGAGATTGGGAGGTCTTCAGCTGATTACTGGGAAGCATGGGATGCCATCACAGTCACTGGAAAAGACTACAAAGCCTTTAAATGTTCTGTATGAATCCTGATTTCCTTGGAAGGTTACTTTAGTCAAACAAAGTCTCTTTTTTCCCCTACCTTGTTCAATAAGTGAACAAACCTTTGAAAAGCCTGCAAGTGATCAAAATATTCCTTGAAATCATCTCAAACAGAATGTAGCCACAAGGTAAAATTCTTACAAGAGCAAAAATTGGTCATGCACAATTACTTCCTGATACACAAAATAGCTAGTTCGGAGTTCATATCATCATTAAATAAATGGGAACTAACAAAAAAGTCCTTTTTATTTTCTCTGTCCTTATTACTGCAGAATATGTTTTGACAATGTTTTCTTAGTTAATTTGGACCCAACTCAACCTTGCTTTTATTCTGTGTAATGATTTCCAGTAATGTAAAGAGGCTATATAGGCCTGCATTTTGGATGTCATAGATTTTTGCTCCCACTTTGGTAGACACATAGAGGACAAGGGAAGGGGATGGGATGTAGGTCTCAGTGGTGAGCAAGAGCAGCTGCTCTGCAGTAACATGAAAGGAATGCTGTATTGTAGCATGGCTTACCCTCACTCCATGTCTGTCATGGATGCATCAGATAAACTTGGCACAAACTCTAGATACGTATTTACTTCTCATTATTTATAAGAATATAGACTGCCTTCTGATTTGCTATGGACAACATTCTGCTAATGTTAACCCTAGAATAACACCTTCCTCTCACATAAAGTCAGTGAAGCTCATTGCAGAATGTTGTCTGATATGACTGAGGATTTCTGAGTTGTCTCCTTTCAGGAAGCCAGTTCTGGTAGCAGGCAGCTTGCTCTGTTACTCATCAGGATATACACAAAGCCTTTGGAAACAATGCTGCCAAAGGAAACCTTTAGTGCTTTTCCTTTCAGTCCTGGCACTTGACATCCATTATATTGGTGTGTGAATGAGAGAAAATAAGTGCATGTTTAGGAAAGAATAAGTTGATAAAGGCATTGCTACATCTTACTCAGGTCATCAGCACAGTTTTACTAAGTGCTTTAATGAGCATCTGTTCCTCCTTCCTGCTATCAGCAGTCAGTTCATCTTTCCCCTGCATCACATCACAGCCCCACAGCCCCGCTGTTCTCCCTGTCTCCATCCCAGCTGAATCCTCCCATTCCTGAACAGTCAATCACTGCCTTCCACAGTCAGTCCCTTTGAAGCTAATTTCCCCACTCCTGAAAGAAGATTCTACTGAAAATTAAAAAAAAAAAATGAAAAAATACAAAGTTCAAAAAATGTAAGCTGTATGGAGAATGGGATAAATGTTGATCTGTAAACCTTTAACAACTGAGGCCTTAATCAAAAGGTGTAGAGTCATCATTCTCTTCTAAGACTGACCATGGAGCAATGAACGCACAGAGCAATGCAACATCTTCCATATGTTAAAATTAAGAAATGAGTCTGAAATCCAGGTTCTGATTTGACTCTCACCCTTTTGATCTGAGATTAGTAGTCCTACACTTCACCAAAGTCTCTGAAAATGCCAGATGAGCTCTGAAAGGGAAGTAGAGCACTTTAGAGCTGACACCACTATCAATCCTGCCCTTCTCTACATTCAGTATTTGAAAATATTATGCTCCAAATAAGAACAGGTAAAGATTCAAATAATGATTATTACAGCCACTTGATATTCATTTGCTATTGTGCTGTTATTACCTGTTTGGCTGAACAAAGAGGTGTTTCTGGGAGATAAACTGCCTTTCCTTAGGCTGCTGCTCAGGCACGTTGTCACTAAGCCCATCAGATACAGATGGGTTCAGAGAGGAGGCAGGTCAAAGACACAAAGAGTTGGACAATTCCCTTTTTTGCACTCCAGACAGGGAGTAAGCTATTTGACAAGTAGGTGCAAAGTTACTCACTCCTTATGCAAGCAAGGAGCAGGAAAAAACACTGACTGAGTCACAGTTTGTCCCGTGGTCTGACTGCATCCCCTATTTCACTGCTCACTCAGGGCCAGAGCAGCCGTGTGTCAACCAGCAGCTTCCTTACTGCACAGGCAGGGAAGTGCTCAAATGCATCACATCCACTTTTCCTTCCCACTGTAAGATGAACTGTAATCTTGAGAGCAGGACTAGTTACGAGGCTCTGGTTCAAAGTCGGGTTATAAAACCCAGAAACATATTCCACTCTCAGCATGACACTAATGGAATATCTCAGTGGTGAGTGGTGGTTTGAGGGCTGGTATATGAAAGACCAGAGATATAAATGATACTTATGTGCTGCAAGCTTCAAGAAAAATGACAAATGCACTGTAGTTCCTGTGATGATGATTAGCTGTGAGTGGAACACACAGGCCCGTTTGGGTGCTTTTTGCTTGTTGAAAATACTCGTGACATTACTGGGGGGTGAGGGCGAGGGAACAGGGGGGAAGGAGAATGTCCAATATTTCCTTCCTTTTGTTTTCCTTTAAAGCTGAAAATGCCATAATATAAGAAGACCTCTGAGCAAGTGCTGGGCTAGACCCCACTGCTGGTGCATTTGGACAGAACATTGCAGAGCTCCTCAGAGTGGTCCCTGGGACATGAAGAACAGGTAAGTTCTTTCCAGGGGCTTGCAAAGCCAGGCATGGGTTGCCCTGTTCTTGTTCAAAGAGTTCTCTTTAAGACAACTATCTCTATTCAAGACAGTGTCTAAGTGGCTCAGTAGCTTCTTTAAAATGGAAATTTTTGACTGCTGTGCCAAACTTTTCATCTGATCCTTGACTTGTTTTCAGTCTCCTGTCTCTGGATGCCAACACAAGGGTAACAGCCCTTCCAGAGGCTGAGTTAACAGCCCTGGACCTCTTTACCATACCTGGACAGACTCATTTGACATATTACAACACAACTGAATTAAAATCAGACTTATATTAATTTACTAGAAAGAAAATCTGGGTGAATATATCTTGTTTTATAGCTGCAGGGCTCTCTGTACAGAATGTTTGTTCCAATTTACCATTTTCATAAGGCCATTGACAGCCTTTGTATGCAAACTGTAAAAAAATATATGGGTAGAGCTTACCAGTGTGCTCTAAGGTATTTCATGCTATAAAATTAGAGTGTCTGTGCATTAATTTTGGTAAGTAAATTAGCAAGGAGATAAAGGCAATTTTCTTTTCTGTAGTGAATTACTGTAAACCCGATTTTTCACTTCTTTCTGGGAAGATCACCATAGCAGATCAAATAATGTATGATCTAGTAAGACACATTTATTTTCACTGTGTGTCTCTCTCCTGCTCTTCCCTTCATCACAGGAGTAAAAGTTGCATGAGAGGGTTATATATACAATTGTATTCTGCCATAGTTTGCTATGTTTTCCTTCACCTTTGGGTAAAGATGAATTTTTTGCCCCCCAAGGAGTAACCCAGACACCTCATAGCCATAACTTCTATTATCTTCTTGCCTGGAGAGCTCAGATCTATTCAACTGTGAAATAGTTTGTCCCTATATTATGCAACCCTGGTAATTCTCTCTTTGGCATTACTCAGAGATGCCCAGGGTGGAAGCATCACCTCCAGGAAAAGAAGGTAAGAAGTTGAATGTATCACCAGAACTTTTCAATAGGAGGGAGGAGGGGAAAAGCCAAAGATGTTCATGTATCTTAGCAAAGTGTGAAATAAGAAAACTGAAAAATTATCTTTGAAAATGGATTAAGTGTCTTTGAATACAGTGTGGGATATTTTTGAAGAGCAAATCCCAGTTGTTTGTGGAATTTTCCATTATGCAACTGAATTTCATGACAGTAGAGCATTTTTTTCCACTGTCTAGACTCCATAATAAACCTAGTTTGTATATACACTTATGCACATGCTTACACATTATGGAGATGTCAGAAGAGATGTCACAGTTAAAGATGGTTGTTTGCTTGAAATATACAGTTAAAGCAGTACTAAAATTCCATTTTTTCACACTTGAGTGAATTCAGACTGAATTTAGTATCCAACTTTGACAATCTAACTCTTTAGAAGAGAATTTTATTCTGGCTTTGTTTTTGACAAATAACTTACTGGCTTGCAGACGAAATCTTCTCCTGCTCTTCTCTGTCCTATATTTAAAGGTTGGACTAAAGCTTTTAAAATGTTTGGGTTTAACTTTCATTTAAAACACTCATAAGATATATGCAGTCCTTTCCACAGCCAAAGAAAACTGTAGGATATCATAAAAAATTCAATATTTCTTGTTTGAGGATTTTTTTTTCCATGTATTGCACTGTTTTGTGACGGGTTATGAGTGAATGTGTTGGTGTGGATGACAGGCTGTTCACAGGGAAGAGTGAGGCAGCAGATGTTTTTGTACAGCCTGAGCAACACCTGGGTTTGACCTCGACAACAGATTCAAAAAGTAGGTTTTTGAGTTAATGTGGCTGAATAAAGTTTGGAGCTGAAAACATTAAAGCAAGTCTCACTGGATTCTCTGCTCAAGAAGGTGGAATTTTGTACATTTTTAATAAATAAACAGAAATGCAACAGTTCTACTATTTTTTTCCCCGCTGAACCAGCAAATTCCCCAAATGATTAAATATTGATTCTGCTACTTGGGTCAAAAGAGATCAGTCCATATCCTTCCAGGCATTCTCCAGCTAAAATAGTGTCTTTTTCTAGTCTAATACTATCTTGAACGTAGTCCAATTCTGACATTTTAAAAGTGATTTACATTGTGTTTTTCAGAACAGTTTATAGTGAACCACACAGAGATTAATCAGTAAGTCTGTTCCAGTCTCCAGCTACTTGTATTTTACCCTATTCTAAACCAACTTTTTAGGTCAGGACTGGGGGTAAACAGAAACAAGAATGTATGTGAGTGCTTGGAGTGACTGGAAGATAAAAAATGGGTATGGTTTTGTATTAGCTGATTAAATTTTCAGAAGAAAATTTAAATAACACAGACTTTAAGGGGTGTGTGAAGCAAAGGCAGATTGGTATTTGTGTGGAGCTTGCAGCTAAGGTAGATTCCACTTTTTCAAGGAGAAATGTCCATGTGATTCCTTCCCAACTTCCTCCCTGGACATCAAATGGGCATTCATGAGTGCAGAAATGCCAGTGGACCTCTCCGGAGCTCCAAGCCCTTCCTGATTTTCATCTGGTTCTTCCACAAGAGCAATAATACAGTCTTAAAAATATTTAAATGTCAGAGAGTGTTGTCTCAGGTGGCTCTGTAGAAAATTTTACTTTTATTTTTTCTTTCCCACAATAATTAAATTTTGGCTGTTTTTCTGCTAAAACACTGATAGCATTACAGCAGGTGAAATATAAATTTGACAGGCAAAAACATTTTAGAGGCATATGGTTTCATGCTGCATCACACAATGTTGTTATCAATTAATAAAGAGTAATTTCTAATACTCTGAAAGATTTTCAAGGTATTTGACAGTTCAGAAATGTTCATCCACATAAAAGTAGCATCATTTTATTAAAATGACTGATTCAGTCTGATATGGAAATATCTGGTCCTGATTATTTCTGTCAGTGGACTTTGGGACTGTGATGGATGTAGTCGACTCCTCAGCCAAAGAAGTGTAATTTTGGTAGAAGCTCCAAGGAAGGCAAATTCCTGAGCTGCAGCTGGACCAAAAACTTCTCTAGTTCCAATCTGTTCTCTGAAAACCCAGAGAGGAGCAGAGTGACCCAGTGAGCATCGACATGTATGAGCTTGGAACACCGATCGTGAGACTAACACTTCAGCTGCAGGTGGATTTTCCAGGACTCATTTATCAAGGAACAAAGTTGTGGGTACAAGGAGTGTCATGCCTACCTTCTCCTTTGCATGTTATTTGAATACAAGACAACCACTTTATTCCATTAATATGGCAGCCTAAGTGAGCCTTCCTTGAGCTCTCCCTACCAAGCAGCCTGACTGCACAGTGGTGGTCTCCTCTTGAACTGGGTACCTCTCAAGGGGTCTCCTTGAGGCAGAGAGACCTTTCACCAACAGCAGATTCTGGTAAGTGACTGATATTGTGCATAACCTTGCATGATAACTTTGATTTTTGTCTTGGTAATTTTGATTTTTGCAGCTTTGAATCACTGCCTAAATGATTGTGCAGTACAGTAATAGAGTGAGCCTCGCCAAGGAACTTTGTTAATACCTTTGATGGTGGTTCTTTAAGCAATGTAAATCACCCATTCACAAAAAATTGGTACAGTCAGCAGGATCCTAAATCAGGATTTGTGATGGATTCGTGATGAATCCATACAGTCAGTAGGATGGCAATTAGTGTCACTGATTACTTACAGAAACACGAAATAAGTCCGAGTCCCAAATTCTCAGAAGGGGTTTACAGCCACTGGCATGATTTTTGGTTTGTTTGTTTGTTTGTTTGTTTTGTGGTTTTTTGTGGTTTGGTTTTGGGGTTTGTTTTTTCTTTTGTTTTTGGTTTTTTGGTTTGGGTTTTTTTAACAGTATTTATGGTCTTAACATCCACTGCTTAATCATCATGGTAATTAAGTATTATATGAGTAGATTAGATTTGCTCTAGAAAAGAATAAAGCCCAAATGCATGTGCTAAATAGAAGTAGTGATATCATACTTGATTAGGTGTTACTTTGGTGAATACTTAAGTGGGAGTGAAAAGAAGCAGTTGCCTCCTGTGAGAAGACTTCCACTACATGTGACAAATAAACATTTCAGCATCAATCTCCCCATCATCAGGAAGGAAGCTGTGACCTAAATCCTCAGCACAAGCATCCTCCTCTTAATTTTGTTTTAGACCTGAAATCCTGGGAGACAAAATAACTATGTAGTAGAAATGGTGCAATTGTGACATCTTCCCTCATTACAAATTAGGTAGTGAGGTACTTCAACATGGAAAATCGACTTTGTGCCATCTGCAAAGTCATAATCTTACTCTTAATGCTTTGGTAGTCTAATTAATGTAAATACACAAGTCTGAATAATTGCTTTGAGGTCACCTTAATTAGAACTTCCATCTTTTAATTGGCAAAGAGATTAATTAAGATATACCCTCAACTGTCCACTAAATCCCATCCTTTCTATTTTATAAAGAATTATTCCATCTCTACACAAGTGCAGGTCAAGAATACAAATCCTACCTCACTCTTCCATTCTACCAGTGGTTTAGCTACAAAGGGAAATCTTCCTTGAACATGAACACTAAATCCCATGGAAACACTGGCACCTGGCTCCCTGCATTCCCTGTGTATGGATGAGCCATGGAAGAAACAGCTGTTGCCACTGCAACTTATTCTTCTCTGGAAGTCCAGAGGAAAAGAAAGGGCAGGGCAGAGGGAGCACTGCCCCCAAGCTGGAGGGACCCAAAGAGAGACCAACCCTCTTGGACACGTCCAAACCTTGGCAGCTGCTTGGCAGCCTGAAAAAGAGGAGCCATGGTAGGATGCTTAGAAATTCCTGGGAAGGGGAACGATAGGGAAATACCTTTAAAACCTCATTAACGTGAGAGTTTCTAATGCACAATTTTCTTTTACCCAGAATGCATGATCTCTCATTAATTTCATGAGCTCAGCACTATACACTAGGTTAAGTACATCTGCACTGAGTTTTCAGAGGAAATTAAGTGAGAACTGGAAAAAAAAAATTGGAAGGTGGCATTTTCAACCAAGTGCCACTGCCAGGTGTAAAGATTTCTGCAGCTATTTACAGCCAACCCTTGGCACTGCTGCTCTTTTGAGACCTCTCAGTTCAAGCTAAAGTCAGGCTGCTTTTCAGTATGCCCAGCATTTTTCCTGTCTGGGAAGAGGCATACCTCTGCAAAAATTGAGTTTTCTTGATGAGAAACAAAACCTTAACTAATAACCTATGGCAAATCCATTCCTTCTGTACTGCCAGCCATGCAAAGACTGCTCAGGATAGTCTAGGGTCAGAGCGATTAAATTTAGAAGTCCTAGCGAAGTAAAAAGACTAGTTAGCAGATTTATTGCCAAATCAGACACTTCTCATTTAAACTCTTGAACAAAAAGTCCATATTTCCCCTTCAAATTCTTGATTCTGTCTTGTCCATTCAATGTTAGATGCTTGGAGCTCCTGAGTTATACTGTGAAGAATGGTGTTTGTTGAAATCCCATTTATGCAGGAGGTGGACCTGGAGCTGGGATCCCACCAGAAGTCCACTGCCTTAGAGAAAGCTGGGAAAGCAGGTGAGCTGAGATTGCCACAGGAACTTATAGCTTCTTTCAGTGCTTTCCTCAGAGGAAAACATAGAAATAGCTGTCCCATAGACTGGTATAATCTTTTGGGAGGGCAGCAGTGACACAAATATGTTCATCCTCTTTCTCTTTCATCAAAAAGAACACATTTCTACCACAGCTGCATACAAAAATTAGGTAAGTTAGAAAGTAGTGTTGAGAGGATTTTTGTATAACAGATTCAAACTTCTGTATGAGAGCTCAGAAACTGGAGGTTTAAATAGCCTCTGTTTCCAACTAAATTTACCATGCTCTGCCATGAGCAGAAGCACCTCTTTATAGTGTTGCCTTCAAACATAGATTTAAGAAACAAAAAATATAGTGCACCACCACCATTGATAATATGCTGTTTCAACCTGTGAAGCTGGGCCCATGGTATTATGAACATTGTATAGCACAGAAACACTGTAAAACAAACCCTTGCAGATTAATAAAAATATATTTGCCTCCAAAATTATTTCAGCGACCCAGCAAAGCCTCAAGTAGCAGTGTTCCTTACTGTACCACCTTTACCTCTGCAATGAAGACTTGAGAAAAGCTGGAGAGGAAGAAAAAGCACATGAGGGCACTATTCAGCCTGGCAGGCCAATATATAGAGGTAGATGTTGTGAGCAAAGACAATGCTGCTTCTTGTTTGATTCCTTCAGCATTCAGGGAAATAGGTCTGTGTTCTCTGAAAATAATAATAATAGGTCTTCTTCAAAGAGCTACTGGTCTTCCACACATATTTCCTCTAAGCAGAAAACCCTGCAAAATCCTGAATGTGTGGGTGAATGCTTTGGTCAAAAGAGCAATTGTTGCTTCCAAGTTGCCTTGTCATCTAAGTGACATTGCTGAGACGAAGGCCCCTGAAGGATCCTGGCATCAGGGACCTCCTACAGGTACTGTGAACAAATCAAAGGACTTGTCCGATGAGGAGTATAATCATATTTCCCTTCTGAAGTGAAGACCTCCCTCCTGACCTTCTATCTGCTCAGATTAATTCCAGCACTGTTATAACACATTCATTTGCCCTCAGGGGAAAGGAGATGCCTTCACCAGAACATTTCCACACGAGGACACTAAATCTAAATGGATTGGGGTTGTGGGTGAAAGCCATGAATTAGAAACCTTCTCATCTACAACTCTCCCTCTCCTCTGGGCATAAATATCCCTTCTCCAACAGGGTTCTCGAAGCACTAAATCCTGTGGGGCTGAGTCAGAATGTCACAGGGATGAGCTACAGCCAAGTGTGTGCCACACACCAGACTGATCCAGCACGGGGCTGTGGAACTGCACTGCTGCAACCCAGCTGTCCTGAGATGATATAGCACATCATAAAACCAAGACAGGTACTGAAGAAAAGCAACTCTTAGGAAATATGTTGGTTTGGACTTGGTTTGGAACTTCTTTACTTCCTTATCAAATGGAAAATGTGTCAAAACCAGTAGGAATTTTTTTTTAAAAATTGCCATTTTTCTGATTAATGACAGTGACACTATTGATAGTTATTGACTCTTCTTTTATATGGATTTGCACTTTAATGTAGACTCTTGTCTATCTTACAGGACTGGATAAATAAGTGACAGATATGTGACAATTGAATATAAAATGGACATCTTCATATAGATTATTTTCCTTGATATCACACAATTCATAATCTTTATTATAGGTCAATCATCTCCTGTGCAATCTTCATCAAAAATAATCCTGGATATAATTCTACTCTCTTGCCTAGGAGAGAAGCAGAGCAAGGCTGAAACCAGCTTGAGACCCACAGTCTAAGACCTGCCTTTGCTTTTAGGCAGGAGACAACAGAACTGGCACTTTTGTGCTGCTCAGGGATGACTTCCAAGGTATTTGACAAGGAATGTGGGAAAACAATGAAAATATATCTCAGTCCATGCCAGTCAGGCCAGGAGAGGGGGTTGGAACGGCTGCTTCCCTGTCCCCAGGGGCTCCAGCAGTGAGGCCCAGCTATCCAGGACCATAAGGGAGTCACTCAGCACCTTGTCAGCACACACAGCTGAGCTCTGGACCTCCTGTTTAGACCTTCTGCTCAAGGAACTGCAATGAATCATCCTCAAAAGTCTGCTCATGCACAGTTTGAGGAGCTCTCAAGATTTGAGCCCATCCACCTCTCTTTTTTTTTTAAAGTTTTTGTTAAGCATAAAATGGTGTTTGGAAGCAGAAATTCAGGCTCTCCTTCTACCAGGACTGGTTTACTTTATTTTGGTCAGAACTGAAGCAAACTGAAAGCTAATTATTTCCTGCTTCAAGAGCAATAGAGTGTTTATTGGAATGTTCCCTACAATCCTATCAGAAGTGTTATAGGAGCCCAGTAGTAAATGAGTTTCCAAATAATTAAATGCAGCTCTCCATATAGACAGATCACTCAAGAAAATGTCTGTTATTTTTTTTTCTTCCCTTCTTCTGCACCAACACCAGTTGTTACAAAGCAGGAAGAAGGTATTCACTGGATTTTAATATAAAATGCCACCATTTTTTACTGGAATGTTTTACTCAGTGTGAAATTCATCCTCAGCGAACTAATGTTTAAAGCTAAATAGGAATATTATTAGTTCCACTGTTTAAATGTAATTTCATTGGGTGCAGATTTCTCACCTTTTTTTATTTAATCACTCTAAAATTGGCAATGTAAAATCGGAGCTTCCACCATTTTTAATAGGATTTTTGATAACATTTATCTCTAATTGCATTTAATTGCGTTTTAGAGAATTACTTTCATTCTTGGTCAAAATAATGTGAAATATAACAACAGCTATTTGTATGCCAGAAGGAAAAAGAGGAGAAGTAAACACTCTCTGCTGGCCTGCAGAGCCAGGGCACTGCAAGAACAGGTACTTCCCATCCTTGCCCAAGGGCAGTGTGATGCTGAGCACATCCAGCACTGGGTAGAACAGCTAAACCCCACAGTCTCATGCACCAGCATCTGCATTTTATCTTCACAGTTAGCTGGGTGTGAGCAGGACTTTTAAGCTGCAGTTCCTGAATGGAAAGTCATTGTTAAAACATTTTCATCCTGGCCCTGTGTAAGTACCTGCTTTGACACGGAAAGTTACAAAGGCTGAGAGGGTTTGCTTAAAAACTTTGGTGTGTCTGCCTTTATCTCCATTCATAGCAAACCCACCTCGAGCTCAAGTCTCAACAGCTGGTAGATTTTTGTTCTTTCCAAAAAGTGTCAGCTTCTCCACCCGAAACAGCGTGCACAGCCTTTGCTTTGAAGACTATCCTTGGTTTTATTTTCAATAAAATCACTTTTATTGAAATCTCTCACGAGGGTACCAACTTGCCTCATCAAATGCTCTTTAGTAGTATTCTTTATGATTTTCTTCCCCTATAATTTATACTGGGGAACATAATTTAGGAGAAAAATTAATAGCAGCAGCCCCTGAAGACAGTGTGGTCAAACTGAGCCAGATTTTTGCTAATGGCCCTCTCACCTGACTTCCCATTGTGCCTGATTGCCTTCCTGTCATTCATGTGTGTAGTCTCTGCTGCCTGCCCAGCTGGGAAATCTCATATCTGTGCAGAGCAGTGGAGTTGGAAGAACAAATCTCTTGATCAAATTCACAGAGAACAAAACAGCAGCAAAACTAAGAACTGGATTTAAAATTTAATCCAGGGTTTTAAGTGTGTATTCTGCCTATAATTTGGTAAATGTGACAGTTGTTGATTACTTGAACTTCTACTAATATTGGACTAACTAATTGGGAAAAATTACTAAATTGTCTTCTGAGATGAAAACTGGATAATTTGTGGGTATGTTCATATACTCACTACACTTGCTTTCCATGATCATACCAGGTAAAATTAGAAAGGCATAAATATTTATGCAGAATAATGCTTAGGGAGGCACAGCATGACACAGGCATTTGTATCTACATGAGTCTGGGGCATACTCATCCCATGAAAGGTTGCTGCTCATGAGCCACAAGAGGAGATTTAACCTCAGTGCTTCTCCAGATCTCCATTATCCAGGTGCTTCTTCCATTCAAAACCCACAGTTACTGGGAATGATTATACAGTTGTCACAGAATTTATTAAGCATACAGAGATATTAGTCATACACATAAAATACAGTGCCCTTTATTAAAAGAGGTTAGTGAGCAACTAAGTTTTGGAGATTTTTTATTTTTTAAGAAAGGTGCAATTGAAATGGCTGGTGCTTTTAGAATTCATGGCTCAGTTGTGATGCAGTCATTCTAGCCAGGCCATAATGTTGAATGACATTTGGGTTAGAGAAGACCTGGTACTGCAGTAATTGTCCATCCATATAGATTTTTACTGAATAAGTTCCATTTTAGTGTCTATATATATTGACCCCAACCATTTTAATTTTAAATGTTCTATCCAGAAGATTGCAAATGCTGATGATATTTAATCTGACATTTTAAAGACAAAAGGCACCCGTGCTAGGGAGAAGTGATGGGCTAGAAGAATGACACCAGAGTGACACCAATTAGTCAAGGGTTGGGAAATAAGAGCTACTTTGTAATGTACACGTGAAAAATAACAAAGATGCTTGTTACCTTCTGAGTGACCAGGCTGACTTTATAGTATAGATTATATATCTACACTATAAAGTCTGATCTAAGGCATAAATCAGATGTTCTCGCCGATCTGATTTTTGTTTGAATTATAGCATGTCTCTAAGAAAAAAAAAAATCTTTATTCTTACTAAGTTCTGAAGTCCTTAAG